ACACACACACACACACACACACACACACACACACACACACACACACACACACACACACACACACACACATACACACACATATACACATACGTTTTTTGATGATTAGACAATTTGATAATACACTGATTACTTACTTATTTCAATTTAGTTATCATTCAGCGGCATTTTTCATCAGTTTTTTACGTGTACCATTCATACAACTTTTTCCTGTCCTATAAGTTACATTTATAATGGCTATTTGATCAATGAAATGAAGTGCTTTTGAAGACATCGCTTGATACGTTAAGTGCTCAAATGGCTGATATGAGTCCTACTGATATCTTTAATTTCATTCTGATCGGCGCTACTATCGGCATGATGATAGCAATGCTTATCATCGTATACATGTGTAAAGCTGTAAGTGCCTTATCTGTGCTGCTTAAATTATTCCTGTACCTGAACGCTTTCATATCAATTTATCATATTAAAGTCAAATTGTTTAGTATCTACAATTGTGAATTACGAGTTTAAATGAAAAATTTAATTTAAATTCATATTGGGCCAAAAATAACTAATTTTAATAAGTGAATAATAAATGAAATTTATAATAATTTTTTAGCAGTAAAATTGAAAAACTTTTAGATTAGAAGTCGTTATTATGCTGATATCTCATTAAATTACGGTCCAATGGTAGTACCATCAAAAAATACAACACCATTTAGTAGAATGAATGCTTTTGGCAGTGATAATGGCAAAGCGAAACAAAAAGTAACATTTCAAAATTTGATTTAAACAAAAAAATGAATCCTGAACAAAACAAATTGTTCCATCTTCTTTTAATGATCCTTGTACAACCTGAATGTCAATAATAATCTTGATCCTAGAATCTTGCTGAATGTCAATAATAATCTTGATCCTAGAATCTTGCTGAATGTCAATAATAATCTTGATCCTAGAATCTTGCTGAATGTCAATAATAATCTTGATCCTAGAATCTTGCTGAATGTCAATAATAATCTTGATTCCTAGAATCTTGCTGAATGTCA